AGCTGGACTTTGAGATTCCTCACCAGCACACTTTCTGTTTCCTAAATGTAATGTTAAGGACCCAAATTTCAGCAAAATCCAAAACTTAACTGTGTTCTTCTAACAGGCCAGAACCCGTCGATTTAATTGAATTAGATGGGGCACATGGCAATGGCAGCCGTTATGCTAAGCCAGAAACTGAACCTGAAACTCACCCAAGAAAAAGAAGTCACACCAATAAGTCTCCAGGGGACCTACTGAAGAACTCCACACCCAGCCGCTAGCTGCCGGGCGACAGGGAGGAGCCTTCCCAGCCTTGGACCCCCCTTCCCTGCTGGCCAGGGAGCCTGGATCAGGGCCCTGGAGCAGCTGATACCTGAGCCTGCCAACTGCTTGCTGGCTGTGAGCGGCAGGAGCAGCTGGTTTTAAAACAAGTCAGTGCTTCCTTGTCCTGAAGCCACGAAGTTCCATGCTCTTCGAGAAACTTCTGTAAGCTCTTCATGTATATCAAATAAAATGACTCCTAAGAGCTTCATCCAGGGGTATGCTCCCCCTTCAACACTCAACACCGAATACCCAGGCCTTAGCTTCTTCCAGAGATTAAAAGCAACACACAGGATCAATTATCCCTAAACCAGTATAATTAAAAGTCATTGATTTTCCTAGGAAAAGTTGATTGGGTTCAAGGATTTACTCCAGCTCCCTCGTGAAAGGCCATGGAAGGGATTTTGTTTTACTTTATTTGTAAGCTTTCTATTAAACTGCTGAGTCAGTAACACACAAGCAAACATCATTTTGGGGGAAGATTAGACAGAGCTGGAAACTGAACTGAAAGAAGAGAAGGGCCAAGATCAATCTAGATCATTCCAGAATCCCCCAAAAGTACTGGCAGCTTCCCTAGAAGCCATAGGCAATGGGAGGGTGGGCTAAAGATATGCCGAGTACCTTTAATTTCCTTGAAGAAGCTGCCAGATGCCCCCAGACCACAGTTATAAGCCACAAAGACTGTTTTGGCAAAAATCTGCACATGTTTGTCAACATATAGTATAGATCCAGCTAGGCATGGTGGCACGCATCTATAATCCTAGCATTTAAGTGGCTGAAGGCATTAGGATGGCAAGTTGGAGGTCAGACTGGGCTACACAGTGAGACCCTTTCTTTGAAACCGATAGACATAGTCGCAAGGTGTGGAATAGGCATGGGTTGTAACTCAACTGGACATTCAGGAACACATGCCCGCTGGGACGCTCTCCCTATCCCTTTGGTCCCCACAAAGATGGCAGCCATGGCCATGCCTTGCAGGTAGGATAATCTGAACATCCAAAGAGGAGCATCCTACAGAACCTACACTGGTGGTCCCTGGAGTGAAGGACTTCTGCAAGTAGCTTGAGGGAAGCTACTACCTACAAGCCCTGTGCATCTGTGCCAGGCTCCCCTTAGCCTTGTTTTCCCATTCTAGACCAGAGACAAAACAGAAACACCACCTCACACTAAGGAAAATGTGATATGGAAGGCCGCATCCAACAAACAAAAGTTAACTGGGAGAATGGGGGTCCTTCAGCAAATACAGACGGCCTGGAAATCAGTAGACAACATGCCCAGTTTATCCAATAAAGAGGAGAAGTGGGAACCTTCATAGATTTGAAGAGACTTAAGGCATATCAGCCAACTGCAGTCTACAGACCTTATTTGAATAACCCAATTGTTTGTTTGTTTGTGGTGGTATGCACCTCCAAACCCAGCACTGGAGAGGCAGAAGCAGGCAGATCTCTGTAAGCTCTATGAGTAGCCAGGTGTCTACATAGTAAGACGCCATAGCAATAAAATAAAAACTACAAATCAGAGCAATTTTAATACCAGCTGGGTATTTGCTATTAAGAAACCATTACCTATAGGCTTTAGCTATGACACTGGAGTGCTTACATTTTAGAGCTATACATAGACATGTCTGTAAATGAAGTGGGGTGATGTGGCTTGGTTTTCAAGGAAATCCAGGGGTAGAGCTGGTCAAACATGTGTAGTTGTGCAAGGAAGGGGGCCATGAAAACCTTTTTATTCCACTCCATATTTGAAATTTTCCATACTGGAGAAGAATCACTGTTGGAGTCCTCAAGAACATGATGAAACCATGTCAGAGAGCCAAGTGATACTGGAAGGGAACAGTTTAAATGAGCTTCTCCAAAGAGACTAACAGATGTAAAACAACCTATAAAAAGTTGGAAGAAAATTGATAGCCTAGAAAATACAGTGAAATATCATTAAAGGTGGGGAGGAGGAAAGAAGGTCCAAAGCTGAACAACAACAAAAAAATTACATCAATACACGATGATGGAAGGAAATGTTCCCAAATGGAAGGCCATGCACTGAATTTCAAAATGAAGATGAGCAGGGGTAGTGGTGAACGCCTTTAAGACCAGCACTAGGGAGGCAGAAGCAAGCAGATCTCTTGTGAGTTTGAGGCCAGCTTGGTCTCCATAATGAATTCCAGGATAGTTGGGGCTATGGAGAGATACCCTGTCCCCAAAATAAAACCAAGAAAACCAGGATAGTTGGGGCTATGGAGAGATACCCTGTCCCCAAAATAAAACCAAAATAAAACCAAGAAAATGAAACAAAATGAAATGAAAAAGACGCCCCAAGGGCCTGATGCCACTAAAGAAATTTCACATCAAGGCACTACTGTGGACCTGCAGGACAGTGGGGACAAAGACATGTAGCACGTTCCAGTAAAACCAGAATGTGCAGAAAAGATCTCAGGTGAGAGGCACAAACTGTTACTAATACAGAGGGCTATGACTGCCCAAGAATGTGCAGAAAAGATCTCAGGTGAGAGGCACAAACTGTTACTAATACCTCTGTATTAGTAACTGCTAATCAAAGACACAGGTATAACAGAAGAACTGTTCATACGGGCGTGTGTCTCAGTACCAAGGGTGAGGAAGCAAATCCAGAAAGAACAGGTGATAGATACAAAACTCCAGGGATTTGGCAGGTAAGAGAATTCCGGAGGTGTGGGGAGGGGGAGGGGGGTTGGCTAAGACCCCAAGCCCAAGAGTCTGTTCAAGCACTGGTTCCATCATCTGTGAAACAGGGAACTGGCCACAGTACCTTCTTTCCCCTGTGCCAACACACAGATTCCATTAAGACCTGGTACAAAGTCAAAGCTACAGGAGTGGTTGTGTCAGCAGGGAGGCGATGCTTAACACCACATCCGCACATAGCTTGATATGTTACAGTAGATTTTTCAAAAGAAAAAAACCAAAACGTTGAGGCATGAGACGGCTTGTTGAGTATAGGCATTTGCTTCACAAAAACCATCTGATGACCACCAGACCCCGTAAAGGTGGAGAACCAATTTCAGAGTTGTTCTCTGATCACCACACTCACGCATAAGCCCCCCCCCAATAATAATAATTTAAAAAGAGAAAAAGCAAAGGAAATTGGTAAAAAAAAATACACATTTCCAAATAAATAGATGGCTAGCACTGGAATGACTGAAGTCACAGAGCTATGGGGATTTAGAGATTGGCAGTGGTCCGAGACACTCCTAACAAAATTTCCTTGTTCTGAAAAGGGAACCAAATCTCAGAGGGGCCCAGCTAGCTGCTTAAGACAGCACTGGTGTAGAGAAGAGGAGATGGGGGTGGGGTGGAGCACAACAGAAAGATGCCTCATTTGATGTACAACAAAAATCAACTGTAACTACCTAATCGTGTCTGTGGCATCTCAGAGGTTCAAGCAGGGAAAAAAAGAAAACACCATAAGAGTATATTGTCCAATGTCAACATTTTACTCTTAAACTTGGCACCTGGCTTGTAATCTGTATCACATATACACATGAATTGTGTGTCTCTCTGTCTGTGTGTCTCTCTCTGTGTAAACATTATTTGGCTGGCTTGGTCACTGCTTCCAATAAAACAAAGGACCCATTGAAAGGACCAGAGGAGCACGGCGTTGGCCAATGTGGTGACAGGAGGGTGCGACCTCCCAGACACCTGAGTGTGAGTGTCAAGAGTCAGGACATGTGACTATTTTCCATGCAGCCCATTTCAATCAAGTTCCAACTGAAAATATTTGCCAAGCCCCACCTAACAGTCTGAGACAAACTTATGCAAACAGAAAATTGCCCACTGTCACTGACTCTGAAGCAAGGTGCACACCAACAGCTCGTCTCCAAAACAAACAAATCCTTGGTACTTGTGGAACAGTTACCACAACACATTTGCAATTACCTTCCAGCCCAGTGCATGCTCCAAAGCAGCCCAAATACCAGAGTGATGAAAGCCTGGGTTAAACGTGTTTTAATATTGTGGCCATGTGGCTGAGATTTACAGTGACAAGCAGAGTCCAGATATAACAAATATGAAAAAAGTTAAAGCTAATCTTGAATGTTTCAGTCCTTACAAATTTCTTCTTTCTTGGAGGCACTAAGTGTATTCCTCAAAGTATGCACTGGTTCCTTAGCCAAATAAATAAAAACTGTTCAGGAACATTTCCATTTCTTTTTTTCTGGGTGGTAAAGGGAGTGAGTGAAAATGAAAACATGATCGCTCCCAGGTATGGTTGAGGAGGTTTTAATATAGATATGAGGGAGAGTAGAGCCAGAGGCATGGGGAAGAGTCCAGACTGAACCGGGCCATGAGGTATGTGAGAGGGGGCGGGGGAGCAAGAGAAAAAGATAAGAGAAAGATAGAAGACCAAGGGAGACGCGAGTGGGGCCTAGACAGAGAGACCCAAGAGAGGAGCGGAAAGAACGCATGGCTGAAATGACGGGTGTATATAGGAATGAGAAGCTGGGGGGAAAGGAAGTGAAGCCCCCTGGGCTGGGGAGGTTTAGAATAGGGAGTGGGGTGAGAAGTGCTGGGAGGTGCCACAGGTACTGAGTGAGCCTAGAGACCAAGAGTGATCTTTGGCAAGCTAACAGACACCACAGTTAGCCATTCGTCCTGGGTTTCTTTGGGACCTGACAGGAAGCATGCATAAAACATATAAAACAGAATACATGTCATTTCAATACTCACAGGAAAAGGAGGATTCCAGTGTTGGCCAGGGCAAAGGCGAGTCCCAAAATCCCACTGCCCATAATGGCGTTGCTCAGGTTAAAGACAGACATGCTCAGGGAGGTCGTTCCTGGAATCTGAACGGCAGAAACAGACATGCTCACTAAGCACATGGCCAAAGTCTTCAAATGCTACCAAGAACCCAGACAGAAACGAAACTGGAGAACCTTCTTTGCAGTCTAAATTTTGTAATGGGTTGCATGAGAAAACGCAGCCAGCAACACACTAACATTTTCAGCGCTGAGCTGTGTGAATTAAAGCGGCCTCCCCATGCATCTGACTTTTATCCTGCACTACACACACACAATCACTGTCCCTAGTCACATGGCTAGAGATGGTGTGCACACCAGTGACACTTACATATTCATCACATTTCCTTTTCTCCAAATGACTGTTGGTGAGACTTCTTCTGCTTTCACGGTCAGAGATGAACTTGCTGAAAGACACACAACACACCTTTACCTTTATGCTAACGACTAAGGGTTTAGCAGCAATGCTACATGATTTCTTTCCCAAAACACCCTGCACACAGAAAGCTGTCAGTTGGATGCCTACAACTGTCTTACCCAACACCTCTTCACTGTGTGTGTGTGTGTGTGCATGCACACACTTGCAGGTATGCTACGTACACATTATCTACAGTCTTGCTTTATCAAATAAACTCTAAGCATTCTCAGGGCAGGTCCTTCGCCTCGTTCATTTTTCTCTCTCACTTTACTAACTAAAAGGCAATAGTTGCTTAACTTGAACGAGATAAGACTGCTATAAGCTCTAAAAGAGCTGTTGTACATTTTTGAATCATTTTCAAAGTAAGCTAAAACACCACACACAATATATATTTAGCTTTCATGTAAAGTTTTCACTAAGTAGAAAATTAGATAAAGCCAAGACCACTATGCACCTGGTATTAGAAAGAATACTGGAGGCAAGGTTCCTCCTAGTATTCTTTCTAAACATGAATTCCCCTCTCCCTTTCCCTTGCAAAAAAGACAGCAGCTGCTTCACCATCAAACACTGAGCCAGAAACAGGATACATGAACGTGATACAAGAATAGACACCAGGGGCTGGGTGTTGGTGGCGCACGCCTTTAATCCCAGCACCCAGGAGGCAGAGGCAGGTGGATCTCTGTGAGTTCGAGGCCAGCATGGGTTCCAGAGCCAGTGCCAGGATAGGCTCTAAAGCTACACAGAGAAACCCTGACTTGGAAAAAAAAAAAAGAATAGACACCAGGGACTGGAAAAGACCTCTAGGCTACCAGGGTCAAGACCAGGAAGTTATGGCAGAGCAAGTGGCCCACAGTGAAGAGTCAAAGCTGGGATTTAAGGAAGTGTGAGGGACTCAGAATTTGAATTCAGATTCTGACTAGATCCAAGGGCCTGGGCCTTCGACTTTACGATTGTCACCTGTAAAATGGGAGTAATACTATCACAGTGGCTGTGGGAGGAAGGAAGGGAAGCAGATCCAACAGCAAGCTCAGAGCAGGAGCAACAAAGGTCAGTGGTCCTCTCCAAGGCGAGGGGGTTGCACTAAATGGGTGAGACCCAGACAGGGAAAGAAACTCTAGCAGGCGACCCAGACCTAGCTACACAGAAGACTAGCATGATGCATTCATGGTTGCTTTCAGAACTTTAAACTTGTCATCTGTAAAAAGTCAACATTAATGGAGACCTTCTGTCAAAGAAAAGTCCACACAGACTGATACTTTTATCCTTTTCTTGTTTGTGGTGCAGACATGCATAGGTGTATCCTGTGTGTCACTGTGACACTTGTGTCACAGTGTGCATGTAGAGGTCAGAGTCAGTTCCCTCCTCCATCTTTTCACGGGTTCCAGGGATTAAATTAAGGTTTCCATGCTTGTACAAAAAATGTCTTCACCCACTGAGCCATCTCACTGGCCCCTCTTGTGTATAGTCTTAAAATATTTTAAGAATGGTTTTTGGCCCTTGTGGTGATGAGTTTTAGGTCACCTTGACACAAGCTAAAGCCATCTGAGAGGAGGGAACCTCAATTAAGAAAATACCTCCATAATATCTAAGCTGTAGGCAAGCCTGTAGGGCATTTTCTTAATTGGTGATGGAATGGGGAAGGCTGAACCCATTTTGGTTGGTGCCTCCTCTGGGCTGGTGGTCCTGGATTCTACAAGAAAGCAGGCTGTGCAAGCTATGAGGAGCAAGCCAGTAAGCAGCACCCCTTCCTGGCTTCTGCAAAAGCTCCTGCCTCCATCAGTTCTTGCTCTGTTTTGAGTTCCTGTCCTGACTTCCTTTGATGAACAGTGATGAGGAAATGTAAGCCAAATAAAACCTTTCCTAGTCAACTTGTTTTTTGGTTATGTTGTTCATCACAGAGCTAACAACCCTATCTAAGACAAGCCTTCTAGAGAAATTCAATCATCCAGTCATCATCAGAATAAATCGCAGTAAATTTTAGTAAATCTAAAGCCACCTGAATCTAATTCAAAGAAGCATCTTTAAATGGTGCTTAGAATTTTATACATTTTTTGAATATGCTACATTTCACAATAAAGTTACTTTTAAATGAACTGTAGGTATCAGTAGCGTCAATCTTATTTACCTGTCTTTTTCATCTTTAATTCAAGGGACCTGGTTCTGCCTTCTATCACCTCTCGAAGTTCATACTGTTTTATTAGAATAAGCCAAAGGCTGCTATGGACGCACATACGACAAATTTACTCTTAGACCTTCGCTTGGTGGGAGCTGCAGGCCACAGACCCTGTTTTGCTTAAGGAAGAAGAAGGAAAAAAAAAACAAAAACAAAAAAACAAAAAAACAAAACACTGCTCTCCTAAAACATAAGTGATCATGTTCCAACTGAGAAAAGACCACATCAGCTAACACTGGCATAGGAGTGTGGGAATGTCCAGAATGAAGACAAGGAATCCTGAGAAGTCAAAAGCAGTATTTGGTAGAGTTAGGCAGAACAAACTCAGAAGCAGAAGCCAGAGTCAAAATTGCTTATTCTTAGCAGGGAGAAAGAACAGTGGGGTTTTTGAGATACCTGGCATAGCACTGTCCCTAATGCTTCATGTGGCCCTGCTTTTGTCCCCAGCATTTCACATCTTTCTACAGAAGGAAGGCTTGCAGATTTGGCTGCAGAGAGGAAGGGAAAGCCAGCCCAATGGCACATGGGTGCTGGGATTGTCCAAATAAAGACTCCTGCTTAACCTACTCAATAGATTCAACCAGGCTAAATTTAAAACAAACATGGACCTGTGGTATCCTGGTCTAGCAATTCTCCCATTTGCCTTTCTTATGGAGGATGCTTGTTTTCCAAAGGGAATTTCCATTGTTATTTTTAAACAGAGGAAAAGCCTGAGCACTTCCCCCTCCCCAAATAAATCAAAGCACCAATAAGTTTGATGTTCAAGCAGACCTCAATTCCAGGCCTGGCAGCAGTCCCTGCAGCTAGACAAAGAAGAGAAGGGTGTGGGAGGGGCCTGACAGGAGGCACAGGTGCATGAGGGGAATTCAACAGGTTCAAACACTTGTGCAAGTGCAGAGGATGAATACCGAGGCCTTATGCAGAACAAGAGGAATGATACTAACTTACAAATCATGGCCACAAAAATACATTAAAACAATTCTGTCTCTCCCTCCTCCTTGCCACATGACAGTAGAATGCTCAAATATCTCTGCTGGTGTCATAGTCCTTTTCTATCCCTGCGATAAAACACCATGACTAGAGCAACTTATAAAAGAAAGCAATGGGGGCTCAAGGTTCCAAAGGGTTGGTGTCCATGACCATCGTGGTGGGTAACATGGCAGCAGGCAGGCAGGCAAGGCGCTGGAGCAGTAGCTAAGAGCTTACATCCTGATCCACAGACATGAGGAAAATAGAGAACTGACCAGGAATGTTGTGGGCTTTTGAAACCTCAAAGCCCACCCCCAGTGACACACCTCCTCCAACAAGGCCACACCTCCTAACCCTTCCCAGACAGTTCCAACTGGGGACCAAGCATTCAAGCAGATGAGCCTATGGGGGCCATTCTCATTCAAACCACCACAGTTGGCTTGTCCATTGGACATTTTGGATGTTGAATTTGGTTTGGCCTCAGTGTTCCAATCACAGCTTCTCCCTACGACTCTAGGGGATCCTTTCAAGCTCGGCTATGGTTGTGATCAAAACAAGAAAAAGTCAAATACAAAGCAACAGCAGGAATCTGCTCTCCCCAACCCTGAGTATCCCCTCCCAAAAGTTCCCTCCAGCCAATTCAAACCCCTCAAACTATCACAGGTTTTCTGACATTCCAGTGTGAACTGGCCTTTCTGATCTATTTACTACACTACCTGTAGTGTACATAATGCCCTGAACTCATCTACAGCACCAGGAGATACCCAGTGTCACTTAGCTCCCCAAGTGTGTACCTTCCCACACAGGAACTCAGAAGAACCCTCTACTAATTAAGCATGCATCTTCTATTAGTAATTAGGAATTACCTTAGGCTGCAGGAAAATTCAGCCATGTAAGATGGAAGTATTTAATTATATGTATGTATTTGTTTATTTGTTGTGGGGGTGCATGCACGCGTGCACATGTGTGTATGTGTGTGCATGTATCTATGTGCAAACACACGTGTACCCACATGTGAAGATCAGAAGACAACTTTTAGGAGTTGGTTCTCTCTTTCCACCGGAATTAGAACTCAGGTTGCTAGGCTTGGCACTTCAGACTCCAGAACAGTTGTTCTCAACTCACGGTGCCTTTGGGGATCAAACGACCTTTTCAAAGGATTGAATATCAGATATTTATGATTCGTAACAGGTGCAAAATTAGTTATGAAGTAGCAACGAAGATAATTTTATGGTGGGGGGGTCAGCACAACATGAGGAACTGTATTAAAGGGTTGCAGCATTAGGAAGGTTGAGAACCACTGCTTTAGAATTAAGAATTTAAAGAAAGTCTCTTTATTCTCTTTACTGCTTTTTCTTTTCTTCAGTTCTTAAATCTTTACTTCGTATTCCTGTAAACTTAAAAAAAGAGAGAAAAACCAATCTCTCTTTTTTTTTGTAATGGAAAATTCCATTCAAACAACTAGGTCAGGCAGCTTTCACCACAAGTTTTATGTCACCCTTTTTAAAAGGCAACTGGCTGTTTAAAATCAGCCTGACCTCTGGCACTGAAATTGACATGAAACTTCATTTTATTGACTTAAAAAGTACTAAGGGGGGAGGTACCTATGACAAGTGATTTTAAGATGCAAACATATTATTAAAAAGTTTACACTGGTCCAGTCTGTACCCATAAAGCAGAATTTGACAGACCATCAAGTACTCAATGGCTCTGAGAACGAAACAAAATGAAACAAAGCCCTACAACTAATGATTTAGTGATAAAACCTTAAAGAGGGGGGGCTTAGGTGTCATCTTCAGACACAATGTGAGAAGAAGCAATATAAAGCTGTTATTTGACATTAAGAG